CTCTCTCTCTCTTTCTTCAGTCTGTGAGGAGGGCATGAGACAAGTGTTAAAATATAGTGTTGTGAAGACTTGTGGGAAGAGGTTGGCTATAGGAAGAGGAGAGAAATGAACGAGAAAAGAAAAGAGAGCTGATCAAGGGATGGAAAAATGCCTTAAAATCTAACATGTCATGTTTTGAAAAGCTTTGGGAAAAATAAAAAACATAAACCATGCCCTTTCCAGAAGAAAGTAATCTAAGGAAGATATTTTATTTCAGATAAGTAGAGTGAGATGAATTTTCTCCAGTCTCAAAAAAGTGAACTTTGCCCAGCCAGAGTGGCTCGGTTGGTTGAGCAACGTCCTGTGCTCCAAAAGGTTGCAGGTTCGATTCCTGGTCAGGTACATACCCAGGTTGTGGGTTCTATTCCCTATCAGGACATGTCCAGAGGGCAACCGATCAGTGTTTCTCTCTCACATCGATGTCTCTGTCTGTCTGTGTCTCTCCCTCCCTTCCTCTTTCTGATAATGTTCTTGGGTAAGGATTTTTTTAAAAAACAACTGAACTTTATTTTACACAATAGAAGCATAAAAGACCTTTGAAATTCCACATAGAACTTGATCAAACATAGAACAGACATCAAAGGGGAGTGGTATCAGGTTGATTAATATCAGCCTCCCTTCACCAACACAGACAGCAGTGTCTCAGAAAACTGAGTCCCTCCAGGGCAGGGACAACACCTATTAATCTTGGAGTCCCCAACCTTAGCACATAGTTTGGTGTATTGCCGTTATTTTTTTTTTAACAAGTCAAATGATTACAGAGTTAGTCCCTTCCTGCACATCACAGCACTGATTCAGTTGGAAGAAATTATTTGAAAGTAAAAAGTAAAGTAAAGAGAAGAAGTGTGATATGAAGTAGACGATTGAGGTTTTCAAAGGACACATCTCTAAATTTTTCTTCATTCCCAAATTGTTCATTTCACTACATCATATAATTTTCCACACAAAAATAACATACGCACTATGAGTAGAGAACAACAAAAGTATATTGAGATTCAGATGTTGATATTAAGTAATGAGAATCATTCTTCAACTAAATTGCAAATTGCTAACTTCTTGACTGCTATTGTATACATAATCTCAGGAAATCATTTGAATATAATCAGATAGGCAAATACTAAAACATGAATGTTTATAGGCTACTATGTTTTATTTAGAAGATTAGGAAGAAGATATTTTTTTATTCTAGTATTAGAGCATTCTCTGTCCTGCCTCTGTTGAGATTATAAATTTCCTGAGGACATGTATGTGTGTTGTTGTTTTATGAGAGAGAGAGAGAGAGAGAGAGAGAGAGAGAGAGAGAGAGAAACATTGATGTGAGAAACATCAATTAGTTGTCTCCCATACGTACCCTGACAAGGGATCGAACCCACAACCTAGGTATGTGCTCTCACTGGGAATTGAGCCCGCAACCTTTTGGTATGTGGGACAATGCTCCAACCAACTGAGCCACCCAACCAGGGTGTACCCTTCTTTTCTTATCCTCAATTTGCATAGTTTAATATTGTGGACTTTATGGGCATTCAGTAAGTAGTTGATGACTTGGATTAGGTGGAAAAATGTACCAATATGAGTACTGTAAAAGTCAGTGTGGATAGGCATAAACTAATTAGAAACACATTCCCATATACAATGAACTTTGTTGATATATTTTCCCAACTCTTTGCTAACATTCCATGATCAGATCTGTAAATTATAAAAGGCCAAACTACAGGCAATACTTTTCAGAATACAGTGACAATAGATCCAATAATAGGAAAATGTAACTGATTTCAGGCCAATCTAATAAAGGACATTTGTAAGTCAAGCCCAGGAAATTGCATTCAGGAGTAATGTTGTGACATACACTGCAATATGACAGTGGTAACAAATTTTAAAAAGAATATTGAAGCTTCAAACTCTCCAGTTCTTCAGTGATAATGGGATTTCAGGTTACCCCTAACAGAGTAATCAAGCTAAAGAAGCAGCTAAGAGATACATAAAAGGAATCAAAATTGAATAAGGATCCATTAATATTATAGCTTATGTTTCAAAACGAAAAGTGAAAACATGGGGAAAAGGGATAGTTCTCTGAAAGTTGACTGACCACCTCCAGTGGGTTGAATTTCTTGGATACATCCGGCCAAGTCTAAATGGAGAGATGACATTTGTGTTGAGACTGTTAATTGTCATGGCAATAAATTCAGTAACATTAAGAGAAGGAGGGATGTAATAAATTTAGAGATTATTAAAGGAAGAGACTTTGTTGTAATGCTGATAGAAGGTATAAGAAAAGTATTCATTTGCACCTTTCTATTTGAGATTTTTTTGTAAGTGGTGTGATTCCAATGATAAGACCGACCTTGGGAAGGAACAGGTCACGAGAAGGATATTTTGAATTTAAGGAAATGCTTCATACTGTGATGCAGAAGTGGGGGGGATATACAGCTTGCTTAATCCAGCCACTGTGCCAGGGTGGAGGCATTTCAGGGCACAGAGGGGAGCATAGTCAACAATGGCTATCGGTCTGTAGGGA